CCCCCTTGTGCAGGATCCTGCTCCAGCAGAAGCACAGCTGGCACTGCAGGAGGGCTGAGCCCCCCTGGGATGGGGCTGAGCCACCTCCCTGACACACAGGGGGTCAGGGCCTGTTCTGACTCTGGAACTGGTTTGTTTTCTTTTTGTACTATTGCACTTGTATTTTTAATTTTCCTAGTAAAGAAGTGTTGTTCCCATATCTTTGCCCGAGAGACCCTTAATTTCAAAATTATAATAATTCAGAGGGAAGGGGGTTACATTTTCCATTTCAAGGGAGGCTCCTGCCCTCCTTAGCAAACACCTGTCTTTTCAAACCAAGACATGGGTTCAGCCCCCCCATGTGCCCTTCACTTAAGAGTTGGACTGGATGGTCCTCGTGGGTCCCTTCCAACTCAGAATATTCCATGATCTATGACCTGGATGGTTTCAGACATGGTCTCAGTTCCTGAGGAGGTCCTAAAACTCCTCTTCTTGCCAGACAGGGCTGGGAATAACTGTGCTCACAGACCATGGGATTTTGGCATAAAGGCTTGATTAGTTTTTAGGAAATCAGCATCAATTAGCTAGGAAGCTGCTGTGTTAATTGTGTGTCCCACACACACCCTCCTTGGGGAGGACTCCACTGCCTCCAGAGGGACTCGGCCTCACGTGGGATTGTGACCCTGGTGAGAAACATGAGAGCAGGGGCTGAAGCTGCTGTCAGGGACACAGCATCTCCCTGGTGTTCAAATCAGAGCCAGAAAATCAGAAATTACTGACAACTGGGGTGAGGTGCAGGGCTGTACCTGAAAGCCCAGGGTAGCAAACCAAGGACAAGTACTGGTTGTAAAAGCACAAATATGAACTGAATTAAAGATGGTGCAGAAAATGAAGCTTTTAAGGAGTAGAAATGTTTAACTTTGAAGCAAATTAAAAAAAAAAGAAAAGAAAAAAAAAGCAGTCTGTTTACTCAAGGAGCTCTGCTTAGAAGCAATAGGATATTATTAAAACTCACAGCTGTTTCTAGGCCCTGCAAACACACAACCTTCAGACAAACCCACATCCCAACAGGCATCCCTGAGGTGTTTGGGCCATTTGCAACCTTCTCTCCTTGGCAAAGTGACCCCACATTCCCCATGTGATCCAGGCTGTCCATCAGGCTCTGCTCCACTGGTAGCCTCTATGAAACTGGGATTTGGTCTCTAACATGGGAACATTTTTCTAGGCATGCAACACTGAGGTTTGTTACAGCATCATCTTTTCCTGTTTGAAAACCACCTAAGCAATAGTAATTTAGGGATAAGGGAAATAAAAGGGAATATGGCTCAATCTTTCCATTAAATCCCTAGAAGTTTCAGCCTTTACACACTGTGTTGTCTTTACATAATGAAGTCACACTGCAATTATAAACGAGAGTGACTTGGCTCCACTTGTTTGTTTTTAACTTGC